CAATAGATTAACTTACCAAGTAAAATATAGTATAGATATTTGTGGTTACTTTGAGGAAGATAATATAGTTGGAACCTAGAGTAAAGATTTAATTGAAATCATAGAAATATTTAAAGTTATTAAATATTTACCCTTTGAACTAAGAGAAAATATAGTAAAAAGAGTTTTAGTAGAAGAATATAGACATATTTTTATAACAGAGCATATTTACTACGATTTAGAACTCTAGATATCAATAGAAAGCTTGAACACTTAGACTTAGAAATCCTAAGAAATACCAGTAAAAAAATACAAACAGTTGGTAATAACATAATTAAGTGTAATTTAGATAATAAACATAAATTACATAGTCTATTTTCAAAAGATCCAAGCCAAAACTGTATAATAGATTTAATCATAAATTTATCAAGAAATTTAGAATTAGAAAATAAAAAGCAAAATAGTTATATAGAAATAATAAGAGAAAATATTAAAACTAGAGACCAAGAGATTAAAAATATAAAAGAATCTTTAGATTATATTAAAAATCAAAATTCAAGTATTTTAGAAAAATTAGTTAAATTAGATTTAATAGAAATAAAAAGAATTTTAGATTCTAATAAAACTAAAGAAATAGAAATAGGATCTCCATCAAACGTAGAAAGAGATTTAAAATCTTTAACAACTACATTAGAAAAATTAAATTTTAGAGACACAGGAAAAGAAAAGGTAACCAGGAAATTACCTAAAGAATATAAATTTTCAAGATGAATACAAACCCTTTCTTAGGAAGATCTAGAACAATAAATGAAGAACAATCTACATCTAAAAACAGTACTTCAAGTATAAGTAGAAATATAATAGAAAGAGTTTTAAATAGACCAGTACAATATAACCAAAATATAGAAGAAATCATAGATCCTCAACAAGATTACCAAAGATTTCAAACTAATGGACTAAGAATTCTTAACCCAGAAATATTATATAATAGAGGAATTTTTGAAACAAGAACACAATTTTTCAGACATAGTAGAGAAGTATCTGTTCAGTGTATAGGAAACCAAGTAAGAAAATTAAATTTAATATCAGAAGATTCTAAGAAAGAATTAAAAAAGAAAAATTTTAAATTCATGCACTTAGGATTAATAGTTATAGGAATAAAAGGATTAATAAGAAATAATAATAATGGTATAATTTATTGTAATCCAGATTTTTTATTAACTATTAAGGACTTTTCAGATAAAATTAAAATAGGAATTCAAACAAAAGAATATGAAGAGGTAGAAAGTGGAGACAATTTACTAATCAGTATAGGATTTTTAGGAAGATGTTCAAATAATTCCCAGACAATATAAAATCTGCATAGATAAAGTAGTAAATTTAATGAGTAGTAAATGAATTAACATGGTTAAACCTAAAAAATATTCATCAGAACAATTAGCAGGATTAGAATGGGATATGGATAAATTTTTAGAAAACCAAGAAACAATTATAGCACCACAGGAAGCATTAACTTATAAAAATATTCATAGAAGGACTAGTTTAAGATTTTTAGATTATAATCAAATACAAAGACAGAATGATTTTGAAGAGGAAACTAATCCTGAAGAAGAACAAAATGAACCATTTCAAAATCAAGTTAATTTAGAATTAATAGATGAAGAACATGATAGAATAATTTATCCAAAAGAATTAGGAATGGATTTAGATAATAAAGAATTATTAGAATTAGAAGACCAAATGTATCTTAGTAAGATAATCACAGAATCTGAATATTTATATTATGACCAAGAACAAAATATAAGAATAGGAACTACTAAAGAAGATTATAATTCAGATAACTCAAAGTTTAGTTACATCAAAGAACTCATGGAAGATTCTAATACATACAGAACCTTTAGTGATACTCCTTTTGATAGAACAGTTAAACATTAAGTAATGATATATAGTGGAGGATTTCCCCCAAGAGGAGCCTATCCTTTATATAATAATACAGAAGGAAAATATATAGCAAGAGAAAGTGAAAGACCCTTAGAAAAGAAAATAGAATTTCAATCAGATCATAAAGCACAGATTTTAAATATTACAGCACATGATCCACAGACATGGAATAATGTTATAGATGTATGGAAGAATACTATAATAGGACACTATATTAGAAATTTTCAAGAAATAAAAGCTTTAAATATATATAGGTACTTAGAGACATTTTTAGGAGAAAGTGTAAAAACTATGTGGGAAGCATTTAAATTAGAAAAAAAACAAGAATTTGAACAATTAGTTAGTATGGGAAGTAATCTTTATAATTTTGTTAATAAAATACAGATATTAATAACAGAAGCAGATCCTAATTCATGACATATGAGTATACAAAGAAAAGCTATGAGAGACTTAGAACAACTTAATCTTTATAAATGGACTAAAGGAAGATATGTTAAGAATTTCTTAAATGAGTATCATTATTTAACCTCAATATCAGGAAATACATTTAATCAAGAAATTGGCAATAAGTTATTTCATAAATTACCAGGACCTTTAGAATTAGAAATTACAGATAAATGAAATAACCTACCAGCAGTAAAAGAAGAACCAGAAAAACAATGGAATATAGGACAAAGAATACAACATGTAATAAGGTGTTTAGAATATAAATGTGTAGAATTACAAATTCAAAAACAACTTAAAAAGACAGATTATAAATTTTGTAAAGATATTTTTACCCCACAAACTTATGGAGCCTGTAGTTCAAGAAAAAATAAATATAGTAATAAAGAAAGAAAGAATAAAAGACCTTTTAAGAAAAGATATTTTCTTAGAAAATCTAATAAGAGGAAACCATATTTAGATGAAAAAAGACATGTTAGGAAATTTAAACCGGAAATAACTTATAAAAATAGATTTAGTTGTTATGTTTGTAATAGTAATGAACATTTATCTAAGACTTGTCCAAAAAGAATAAATAATTATGATAAGAAAAGCACATTAATAAAATGTACTAATAAAGATTTAATACAATTAGATGAATATATTTCAGACAAAAAATCTATTTATAGTCTTATATCAATAGAAGATAAAAATTTAGAAAAAAATAAAAAATCTAACAATGAAATAATAGATGAATTATCTAATATAAAATTATAAGAAGAATCAGAAGAAGAAGAAGAATTAAATCTAATGAATAATGTAATTATAAAATGTATACATAATTGACAAAAATACAAAGGAGTAGACAATATAGCCTGTTATTTATGTAATTGGTACCCAGTAAGAAAACTTAGAGCTAAATGCGTAGGATGTTATAAAGAAGCATGTATAAAATGCTTAGAAGAAAAGAATCTTATTGAAAAAGAAGATATTAATTCAGAAATTCTAAAAGAAAAAATTGAAATTTCAGAAATAAAAATTCTTAGAAAAAGAATAGAAAGTTTAGAAGAAATGCAGAAATTTATAATAAATAAGATAGAAATATTAGAATATAATAATAAAAGAAAAATAATAGAAACAGAAGAATATAGTCAAAGTATAGAATACAAAGAAAAAGAATATGTTCAGGTAATATGTAATCCAGAAAAACTTAAAAGTATTAAGGTAAAATGTTATATAAGAATAGGACAATATGAAATAAAATGTTTAGGATTAATAGATTCAGGATGCAGTAATTGTATAATTAATAAGAAATTAATTCCAGAAAAATACATAACATACTCAGACAAACCAATAGAAGCACAACAAATGGATGGAGAACTTTATACTTACAAAGAATTATTACAATCAAATAGTAAGATTAGTTTTGAGACAAATTGCGGTAGAAGTATAGAATATACCTTACCAAAAGAATCAGTGTGGGTTAGATCTTTAAATATTAAAGATACAGATTTTATAATAGGATTAAGTTTTTTATTAAAAGATAATGGAAATATTACAATTACTAAAGACTTTTTATATTTACAAAAACATACACTATTTACACCAACACAGACTACCTATTTCCCATCACAGTGCATAGAGAAGCGTGGTGGAAGTAGTAGTAATAACTGTAAGTGTGAAAAAGAAAAAAAATGTCAATTAATAGAAGAAGATAATTTAAAAGAAATAGATTTTGAAATCCTAGATAATTTAGAAAACATAGACTTTGGAACTNGGGGGGGGGGGATTGTATTTTTTAATGTTTTTTGAAAAATGTATAATTAAAAAATAAGAAAATTTTTGATTTATATGAAATTATTTTATTTAAGAATATGTAGTTGAAAATAAATTTTGAATAAATAAATTTTTTTATAAAAGGGGCTCAAACGTGGGCTATATAATTTCGTAATGATAATTTAATATTTTAATTTTATTGTAAATTAAAATAAATTATGAGATATATAGCAAACTATTGATGCTTAGTCAAATCAACATGAGACTAAATTAAGAAGTAAATTATTGTAAAGTATTTTTATAATTATGCGATGCTTAGTCAAATCAACATGAGACTAAATTAAGAAGTAAATTATTGTAAAGTATTTTTATAATTATGCTATCAAACAATTAACTTAACTTTGATCGCATTATTCAAATATACAACACCACATTGTCTTTTTCAAAAACAAATTACTACATAAAGCTCCACTCGCTACTATCTTACCAAACGATAGACCTATTTAACAAGTGTATAAAGATTTTTAGTGAAATTTTTTATTAAGGAAATGCTATTTTGACAAAAATCAAAGAATGCCCAGTTTTCATATTTCGACTTAGTTTTCAAAGGTCATCGGAATTATTTTTTTTTTCCCCCTTCTTTTTTTCCATTATAACTAAATTTTCATTAACTATGTTTTTGTGGATTAAAATTTAAAATAACTCCCTCTTGTCTCAATTCTTCTCAAGAAAATGTCTTACGTGGGACCAAACAATCAAGACCTGCAAACTCAGCATTAAGTACCTAAGAACCACAGTTTGTGCTTTAATTTTAATTCGACAAATTGGAGCCACTAAACCTGGACCAGAGTAACACATGCAAGATGATGGACCCAACTTCATGAATATACACCAGCCACAAATTGGAAAAATAAATAAATAAAACGCCAAGAGTCAATATCATTCTTATACTAATGCCTGCTTCATTCTAATATTCAAGGCATAAAATAGGACTTTGCTGACCATCTAGTATGCACATTTTTACAAATACGAGCAAAACCTGCTTAAACCTCAATGCTCACTCAGCTTGACCTCTATCGTCTAATCATATTGTAGAATACTAATAATATATATAGATAACATAGTAGTTTTATCGCTTTGAGAATATTACCAAGATCACCATTGACATTGAAGCTATGATTTTGAAACTGGATGTCTCCCAGAAGTTCTTCCTTTCGGAAATCGTGGGTTGTTTTGCCACCAGTTGATCTCTGAGTTCTTTCAAAGCTTTATCCCGTCGTTCTCCCATCTGTGGAACAAATACGAATAATAATTAAAATAGTTATTTATTATTATGATCATCAAGCAAGAACAATGTGATAAGTAACAACACAAATGTATCGGATTAGAACCATAATTACTATGCAGAAATGTTTTTAACAATCAATATATTTCAATGCGCTTAGTGATTGTGCAGACAATTTATCAACCATTGTCAACAAGAGCCCAAATTTTGGTTTGTTTCAAATGAGTGTTGATTGGGGGTTAAGGGGTAGATTAGACAGTATCGAAGAAGAAAAAGAAGTTAAAATCTTATTTGTACTCTCTAATTTCGCGTACCAATCATGCACAAAAGAATTCAAATTAAAGAGTCGGTTCTCTGACTATTTGAATCTGGCCTTATATTATTGCCAAACCAGCAAAGCAATAGCACAAGAAACATAGGTGAACCAACAAGAAGATAATAATGGAATGAACAGTAGACACTATTGTGTCTTGCTGTAATGTAAATTCTGAAAACAAACATAACATGCAAGTAACCTAATAAGGTTGCACCAAGAAACCTATACAGTGCTATTAACATAAGAGAGAGAATTACCCTTTGGAGCTTGCGAGTTTGAGCACGAGCTTCTTGTAGACAAAACTCTAATTTCAGTACTCTCTTTTTCAACTCCTGGTCTGCTCTACGATGCTTCTCTAACTGTGAAACAATGCACAAACCTTTACATAAAAAAATGTGTAAATACACACACACACACACATATACATATGTATATATATTGCAGGTAATCAAAGAACAAACTTTAGAGTTGCTACTATAAAGGACTGATTTGAGATGATCAAACCTGAGATTCCAGCTCTTTAGTTTTAAGCTTCCAATGAGCAGACATAATCCTTATTTCATCTCTCAGCTTAGCGATTTCTTCATCCTTTACAGTCAAAAGTTTATTCATCTTTTCAATATTCTTAGGGGAAATTTCATCTAATATTTTCCTAAGCTCACAATCTTTATTCGCTCCAGCCTTGGCTAATGCTTCCATAATCTCGTGCTCTATTCTCATGACTTCATCTTTCAGTTGCATTTGGGAAAGATCCCTAGCTTGAAGATTCTTCTGAAGAATATCGATTTTTTCTCCCAGTTTATTAATATGAACCTCGTGCTCCTTTAAAGAGAAATTTTTCTCTTCCAGATCTTTCAAAAGCACCAGACACTGTGATTCTGCCGATTGAGCAGACCGTGCACTTGCATCTGCAGTAGCTTTAGTAGCTGAAAGCTGTGATCTCAGATCATTCAGATCCTTTTCATACTGCAGTTCATCATAAACAAAAACAACCACGATAAAGTTTACAACTAAGTGGGAAGAGACTATATGCAAAACCAGATGGAATATAGGTGAATGTAAGAGATCCACAGAACGTAAAACCAAATCAATTGCCTATGAAATGGCGCAGCCTTTTCCCATAGTAATAGCCAAAATACAATAAAAATAAGTCGAAAGAGAAAAATGTAACCAAAAATGTTTATACACGTCATTTGAAAAGTCCAATTCCACTTTGTATTCAAGTATTATATAAACATAATGGAAGTGATCAAATCGACATAGACCTTAAGTAGCTTCAATCTTAACCACGAACTTCTGTGTCTGCAGCTTGGAATTGTTAATGCCAAGGCAGTTCATTCTACCCAAATATCTTACCAACTTTGAAGCATAAAGCAATCTCAAATGATACATCATCTGCTTCAAGGTTTATACCAGGTAGAAAATCAGGAAACCGCTCTAGCATCATTATTCTCAAAACATAATCAAGGTTCCATAAAGCAGTTTAATAGAAATTTTAGTATCATGCCTATCATGGAGTTACTGTAGAATAGTGATGTTAATAATGTGGATTATACTGTAAATCATTCAGCAGTATCACATATGATCTACACATTCAAAAATATGTATATTTGATGAGAACATATTGTCCCTAGCAAATTCATTGCTGTAAAACAGAAATCCAAGTTGTTAACAAAAAGGCTCATATTTTTGCTTACATGTCACTGATATCCACATTGCTGACTCCAATCCCAAATTTCCATTTTTCCATTTTCCATTTTTCCATTTTGAATGGTATTCTAGAAAATTTGAAATCCTGTGTGAATATTATATACTATTTTTGAAGTTCAAAAAATGAAATGAATAACTGGATATACAATAAAAAATGGATCTCCATAAAAACATTTCCCATTTTCCAAAATCAGCTAGATGGTGTTGAAATTTTCGGAAGGTGAAAACCAGATACCACTGTGGAAATTTAAGAGATAATGTTTCAGTCATGGACTCATTTGACATCTTAATATGAAAGTCTACGAAGAACCAACTTGAACGAGACATTTAACCTTGAACTCAACCAATAGTAGAGCTAACAATAGTAAATCAGATTGCCTACTAACAACACATAATCAGGCACCTGAGATCTAAACAAACTGAAAGTTGTCTTGGCCACCATAGAACTAATGACATGCAGTAATTCGTGCTGCGCTACGATATATTATTAGTTGTTTTTTCTCATATTTTTCGAATTGAAGTCTTGGATTTAACAAGGACTGGAAATAAAATGATGTAAAATATCTGCTTAATTGGAAACAATATTACAAAACTATAGCTTTTAAGCTTCGATTTAGACATTGTCATTACTAATACCTCTACTTTGATTAGACTAACACATCATAAATATCAATGTGCTAATTTCCTAGAATTTTATAATAGATTTTTGGGATGTTGCATCTTTCTTCATTCATTAACTTTCTATTAATAGATCTGATAAGAAAAATCCTTATCATGTCCTTAATCTCATGTGCACATCTTTTTCATAAAATAATAGCAGTTTAGAAAAACTTACAATGAAGTTCTATTAAGTTTATGTACGGGAAATTGAAAGAAGATTTTCTTTGGGAGAAATAAAGCTGCTAAAATTGTAAATTGATATAAATGAGTGGTGGACGAATGGATAGTTGTTGTAGGTCCTAAAAATGTGTGTTTAAATTTAACTTTTGATTTTGACCCTTAATTATGATTTAAAACAACGCATAAATTAATAATTAAAATTTTTATTAGCATCCCGAAGTTACTATTATGAACTAACAATTCAACTAGTTGGATATGGCAGTGGAAGAAGTAATCCATAAAACCAAGCCTAGTGCCAACCTCGGTAGAAGTCCCATAGAGCGTCCTTTGTTAAATTTTGTGGTGGGGTTTGATATGAGCTGCATGACCCATGAGCTGAATAACGGACCAAGTACAAGTTCCCAAAAAAATGTAAAGGATTTAGTGAGCATTTTGGGGGTTGTGAGTGTTATCCAAGAATAGAACTATAGGAAATGAAAGAAGAAAGAGGAGAGCTTCTTTCATACCCTTGCATAGGTTTAGCAAGTTCCGACTACACATTAACTTTCACCATAGTGCATGTTTGGTACAGATTTTAAGTCAATTAAAATCAAAATTTTGACCGTTATTTCACTATTCCAGCCGTCATTTTTTAATTATTCTCTCACAGACAGGACTCACTTTATCTATAACGATCAAAAAATCAATTATCAAAATCCCTACCAAACAATCACATAATCAACTTGGTAATTCAATTGAGAAAATAAATACTTATAGACTGCTAAATTTCCTAATACTGACAAGACAAGTGATAAAATATTAAAAAGCTAAATAAACAAGCAACTGCATATTGACTAAGATTAACTTCGATTTCTCATAATTCCTAATAAAGTTAGGACTATATTAAACAACTAATATAAGACTATATGGACTATGGAAGTAGGTATTAGCTTGTCCAGACGTCATTAAAAAGGTGAAACTAATTTTTTATACAAAACAATCATTAATCAGAAATAATAAATTTCAAAAGCATTACTAACATGGAACGGTGCATGAAGTTGAGTCTAAACTTGATCAATTTCCTCCAAATCCTTTCTGTATAGAAAGCACCAATATGCCTACTTGTGTAGCAAATGTCTTTAGGTCACATCAGAAGTTAAATATCATGATCCTAGAAGTTCAAATATAGTATTTACAATACAACTATTTTTGGACCTTAATGTGAATCCTATGGCAGGAAAACAAATAATGGAAATAGGAATTTCATTCCATTTCTAGTTTTGTGAGCAAGTTAAATTGGGAAAGTAAACATAGAACAATAAAAGCATGCTCGGGTGGGTTAAGCAAATTAAAAAGAAAATGTAAAGTTATTGAACAAAATTCATTTTTGGATAAGTTTTGCTAATAAGCACAGTTATGTGTAGTAATCTAGTTACCTTTAAGCTAACTCGATAGGAAGAATTACTGATGCACCTTTATGTTGGGGTTTCTAGTTATTTCAAAGGGTAAAATAGTGGTCCTTTCCTTGGTCAAAGAGTAAGCAGGAAAGTATAAGTGGGTGTTCTTTTAAAAATCAGCATATTTTTTGGAATTTGCTTTAAAAAATGAGTTTCTTTTTAAGCCCAAACTTGTTCAGTAAATAAAGGTTCTTATAAGCCGGGTAGACTGCTTATAAGCCCACCAAACAACATTATATTTTCTCAAATTCTAAAGCTACGAAAGATAATTGACTCGTTCATTTAACAACAATTTTATATGAAGTCTTCTATTTAATTGCATGAGGGAAAAATTCTTCTACTGCCTTTAAGCACGGAAGACTCCTAGAATTGTGCATAGTAGTCATTTTTCCCTAAATTTTGATAATGGTTCTCCAACACCAATAATAATAATGTGAGGAAAATGTCTAAAAAGACAAGTATATACATTTGAATAGCACAACTAGAAAAAGACAAGAATGGAGAAACAAATATTGCTTAACAGTGTTAACATTTGACGGCATTAACACCCAGCGAGAAATTATTCCATTACTAAATGTCCAAAGATTCCCCTTTTGCTAGCTAAATATTAAGCGCTAACTACAAGGAGCCAAATTCTTTGAATCATTCAATTTGCACAACTATTTTAAAGTGAGTCAATAATAAATTACAACATTTTGATGACTATTCCCCCCACCAAAAGAATATGAAAATCCGAAAATGACCCCTTGAAAATAGAGTAACTGAGGTCTTTGATTGTGGTGGATCTGTACAATAAATATTAAACCCCTAAAAACGAAATAAAGTTTAGATCCAAACTTCATCAGGTCATATAATTGCATTACCCCAAACAAGCAAAAACAACGAAACTTAAATCTTTATGGAACAGTAAACCGTAATGTTAAAAATCACAGAACTAAAGATGTGACGAAATGATGTCGTGGCAGACAGGATATAAGATAGTACCATCTCAGCAGCAGATGTTGACTCCTGAAGCTGGACATTTCTCTCCTCTAAGCTTTTCTGCAATCTAGTAATTTCATTTTCCATGATTTTAGCTTTGGTTTCAGCTTCCTGTCATAAACAATAAACAAAAACATAAAAAACAAAGCAATTATCGTAAAGAGACAAAATTTCCGAAAACAATAAGTGGCCCACACTCATCACTACCTTTAAAAGGCAAAACTAAAGGTAGACAAAAGAGTCGAAAAAGTTGGATGACAATATCCCATCCATACCAATTATTTTAAAAACAAATTTTTAAATCATTTGAAATCAATTGTCTGAATTTTGCAACCACACTTTGTATACCAACTTTGTACAAGTAGCTTTACTCAAAATCATTTGATCTCATCTCACTTCCCAAAACACATTAATTATAATTCATGACTTCACAACCATTTGAAAATTCAATAAAAAGCACACACGAAGAGGCAAATTTGAATTTTGTCTTACCTGTCTAGTTAGGGTTTCGCGAGCAAAACACTGTTCTTGGGAAGCGAGGCGGTTGCGAACCTCCTTGAGCTCAGACGCCAAAGAGACCACGTTCCGCCTGAAGCTCAGCTTCTTCTCATTCAGATCCTTCAGCAACGGATCCACTTCCCTACGTACTACCGTGACCGTCGAGGATGCCGATGATGACGTCGGATTCTCCTCCACTGACATCATCGCTTCGATACAAATTCCAGAAAAGCAGAAGTTCGAATCTCTTTGACGCTACGCTGATGCACTGAATCAGGACCAGAAGAGGAATTTAATTTAATTTAATTTGGTTACTCTCCCTTTGGAATGGATGAAAACTAGACCCATACGTATCACGCGCTGCATGTTACCCCTTGCGTAGAGCACTTAATACAGTGACGAATGATTAAACTGAAAATAATTAATTAAGTTATTTATCTATTTCACTAATAACTTAGTTGACGATTTTTAACTCGAATTCAAAATTTCAATTTGAACTTCGTGTGCAGATAACGACGAAAAATATCCTTCGTGTTCATACGGAATAATTTATTATACCACTTTCAACCTCAACAGAGTTGACAGCTATGAAACTCCACAGTTCAAACTGACTCAACGCACAGATTTATCGCTTTAATTACAGCAGAAGAACCACTTCATATATGCACACATCTATGAACACGCAGATGCATATACATATACATAGACGTATACTAGAAAGAGAAAGAGTGACAGGATTTCCAGAACCAAAACACGAAATACATCAAGCTTTCGTGAGAAACTCGATCGAAAACGGTTTTAAAATGGGAAAACGAGCGTAATTATAGAGAGAAACCATATGAACACAAGGGAATTGTAGAGAGAGAGTGACAAAGCAGGAATAAATTCAAATTCAACTCTTCTGAATACTATAATATGCAGTGCAGTATTTTATATATAATTTAATTTTAATTTATAGTAACCTAGGGATTTGTGCATGATTTACATTTGTTAAAACATCCGACGGTGGAAAATGGTGATAGAAAGAGTGGAGGGCTGAGATTCGTAGGATTTAGTGCAAGTGAACAGTGTTAGAATAACGCTATTTTATGAAGGCGAAATCTGAGGTTCGGATTTGAGTTTGAGGGGTCCGGGGAACCGAGCCTCGGGTTTGGCGATTATGACAAGATCCGAACCTAGTCCGGATAATTTCGAAATAAAAAATCAAATTACGGTTGAATTGACATCCACGTGGCTTTCAAGGAAAATGGGCTGCAAGAGGATTTGAATTGGGTTCATTTTGTTGAAGCCCATGGGCTCAGCGCAAAATCTTTCGTCTATAAAACGCACAGTCCTTTCTAGGGCTGAGCAAATCTCTCGAACCGAACCGATCGAACTGAACTCGAACCCGAACGAACCGAACCCGACGATTCTTGTCAAATTAAATACCCGAACGGATATCTGAATTGAGAACCGACGTGTACGGTTCGATTCTCGATTTTAGATCAAGAACCGAAGAACCGAATAAAAACCAAATCTTTCTAATTTATTTTTTTTTATATTGAGTAAATCAAATTATTTTAATTTTAATTTTTTCTAAACAAAGTAATGATTTCTAAATCCAAATTTTTGGCCCAATAATTTGTTTCATTTCTAATTTTTTAATTTTTGGCCCAATTACCCATTTTATTGTTTCATTTCTTAGCCAAACAAGATCAAATCCACTAAATAACTTTAAACACCTACAATAAAGTGCATAACGTTGTCTCGACTCTTGCACTCACTCTCGCAGCCTCGCTAATATTCCAAAACATATACAATCGTCGGTCGACACTCTGACCTCCGATCGAAGCTGTGACTTCCACCGACCGAAACTTTGATCGTAGCGATCATTTGAACAAGGTAATTTACTAGTCTTTGATATTCCAAAACCATTGAATGTATCATTAGTCGTATTTATATAACGTTGTTATAAATGTTAAAAAATTTAATTATAATACAGAACCGAACGGAAACGAACCGAATGGAATCGAACCGAACCGAATGGAACCGAACCCGAACGGTTCCATAATTATATTTGGACCTGACGGTTCCATTTACTAGATACCCGAAAATTTTAATTCGGTTCGATTTTAAAGAGAACCGAACCAATCCGCGCCCACCCCTACTCCCTTCTTATCAGTTTTGAGATCCAATGAACGAGAGTTGTTTGTTGTATTAAGTAGTGTGTTAAGAGTTAACAATTTTTTTTATAAAAATGATAAAAACACTTTTGAATCATTCATCTAGTTCACCAACACGCCCAACACCTCTTAAAAATATTAATTTACCGAAGTTCATTAAGCTTACAGATGATAGCACCCCCCGATTCTTCTCCCTCAACAGGCAATGACAAAGGGAAGTAGGGGCCAGTGATGTCCATGACCACCACTAAATTTGAGAAATTATTTTTTATATGACTATTTGAGAAAAAAAAAAAAAGAGAAGAAATAAAAGAGTGAAAACTCAAGTATATTTTATTGATAATTGAGACCCGTATTTATAGGGTTCAAAATGAGAGTTACAATTGTAACGGAATTGACTCTCCAAACTATATTAGACTTATTCATGCATTATGATAAAACTATATAATCATCAATATATATTTTATAGTTTTCAATACTTCCCATTTGATGATTATTTGCACATTAACTATCGCATTGCAATATCATTTGGCAAAAACTCAATGGGACAAAAATGTCAATAAATGCAAAAAGAGTGTAAATAATTTGGAGAAAAAATGTTGCTTCATTAAAACCTTTGTTAAGGAAATTCAGTGGGACAAAACTTTATCAAAGGAAAAAGTATACAGCTAAACTCCTTGATTTCAATTCTTATATCAATTTATCCTTAAATATTGCACTTTCTGGTAAAGTAAGTCTCATGTTATCTTTTATAGTTATCAAATAACATCATCTTCATAAAAGATTGTATTAACCTTTGATAACTGTGATAACATGATGATTCAAAAAATAATTATTATTAATCTCCTTGGAAGTCTCACACATATAGGAGTGTTACTTTGAAGAAAATATCTTGTATATTATAAACATTCATCACATAAAAAATATGTCTCGTTAAAATCTTATTAGGAAAAACCTTGTGAAAAAATCCTGATGTAGGAAAAAGAGTATATTCTTTTCAATACATTATAAAAGTTGTCCATTAAAAACCTTGATAAAATAAAATTAGTACAATGCGTATTTATTCATCTTCGTGATAATATCACTTGAACTATATGCTCCATGCATATTAAATCTTTTTAAGGTAACGTTAATAATAATGCCATGTGAGTGGGCTATAATCAAATTTATTATATGCATATCAAATTCTATACATTGTTAGATCGATAAAATAGAGGCTTGTGATTACATCTACCATATGATAATTTATCCATTTACGTAAGTCTTCACAAAATTCATTATGTCAAGAGTCTTTCATTATATATTATGACTCAATTTTTCTCATTTCATTTTCGCATAAGTTTATATCTTTAGATTTTTGGACTGTTGGTCCAGAAACTTTAAGTTTATTTAGTGAATTCAATTTATGAAGAATGATGTCATTTATCATTATGATGATGAAATATCGGTGATTTGATAGTCTATATGAAATAATGGAATTGGATGGTTCAATTTTTGTGAGAAAATGGGAGAGGAGAGAGAAGGAGATTTGAGGGATGCTAGGTTGCCCATCACCAATACTCTATCACCATGATGATAAACATCATTACTTATTTATGAATGTGTCACGTTTATATGGCCAATCATTTCTTCAATTCATCAAAAGTATGTCTCCTTAATAGGATTGTCTTTTCAATTGCTCCATTTTCTTTTAAAGATTAGAATCGAATAACATCACACTTCATGTATGTCAAAAATTTATCAAATATAATATTAACTAATAGTTCTACAAGACTTTAATTTGATTTGGAGCATTTAAAGCCAGTGTATGAGATATTGTTGATCTTTTTGGTTAATAAATGTATCTAAATAAATTATTTTTCAAACTATTGGTTCGAATTATTTTTGCTAGAATTTAGATAATGATGCATGTGTACATTACGAGTAACATTCTTCAGAATAATGGAATCGGAGTATTATGCTATTCAGGAGCAATAAATGAAATAATAAATTATATACAAATTTACTCTTCATGAGTAAAAACATAATTTATATTAGATTTTATTAAATTACTCTTGGGGAGCAAGTAAAATTTAACTAGAACATTAATAATAGTGAGCTACTTCAAAAGTAAAAATATGTTAGATAGATATATGAGTACTAAATTTGTAAGTATACTCATTAAAAAACAACAACGAGGTAATTAAATGAATGATAAACAAGAAGCAAAAAAAAAAAAAAAAAAAAAATTGGACATGCATAATTATGATTGCTGATTATTTTATATGATGATCTTTCATGCACAATTCAGTGATTGAATTAAAAATTTGGACACAAAGAAAACTGGGTAGAAACCAATTTGCTATGCAACAGTTAATATTAATTGGGCAGAATCAATTCATGAAAGTCAATTATGCATGTAAGCTACAATAAATAAATTAAAAAAAAAAACGTGTATGATTTGAGATTGTCTATAGACTACAAATTAATTTGCCATACTTTGTAGAGAATCGTGCTAATAATGTACTATAAACTAGAGAGAAAAAGAGAAGAAATAAAATAGTG